AAAGAATTGCTAAGAGTAAAACAAGATAAATACTGGAATGGCAAATAAATGACCAGCACTTCTAATGGTTTGGGGATAGGATATCGTACAAAGTTCTAGTATGTCATGGACATGGATAGTGTCCATGACGCTTACTGGTGGCCAGGTGTCACTTGTGGGATTGAGCTACTATTTCCTTGATATCCACCCTTTAGACCCAGATAGAATCGTGACCCATGGCTCCATTTGTAAAGTATGCTTATGGGAATATTTTGCTGCTGTATACAAAAGAGTAACTGAAAGACTGCTTTTGTATACCTCTTATTCTCCTGTGTTTAATTGTTTGCCCTATTTGGTGGGACCTTTTCATTCTCATACATGGAGTTGTGATCATTTTGCTCCCTCTCTGGAACATCTTTTAGTAGTCTGGGTAGGCTTGGCTTTGTCATCATGAAATTCTTTTTTTTTTAATTTTATTTATGAGAGAGAGAGAGAGAGAGAGAGAGAGAGAGAGAGAGAGTGGTGTGTGGCCAGCTCAGCCCACCAGGGGGCGGGGCTGGCTGGCATGTGGTGCTGGGGGATCGAACCGCGGTCCCTGATGCTTTGCTAAGCTTGTTCTAAGTAGGTGCTTTAGACCACTGAGCCATCTCTCCAGCCCATGAAATTCTTAAGGTGTTCTTTGTCATGGAAGTATTTCACTTCTCCATTATACTTGAAAGAGAGTTTTGCAGGGTATATCAGTCTGGGTTGAAATTTGTTTTCTTTCAAGACTTGAGTTACTTTGCTCCATGCTCTTCTTGCCTTCATGGTTTGTGAAGGAAAAATCTGCCATTATTTTGATGGGTTTTCCTTTGAATGTGATCTCTTTTCTTTAGGGGCTTTTAGTATACTGTTCCTGTGCTGAATTTCTGAGATGTTTATTATATGTCTGGCTGTGTTTTTAATTGGGTTGATGTTATTTGGAGTTCTATGTGCTTCGGTTACATGAATGTCAGATTGTTTCCTCATATTTGGGAAGTTTTCTGCTATTACTTCTGCCCATATTCTTTTTATATCATTTGTATTGACTCCTTCCTTCTCATTGATGCCTCCTGTTAAGTCTAAGTTGTTCATCTTTGCATCATCTTGTAGGTGTTGAATTATTTTTTCCTGCATCCTAGCTGTTTTTAAGAGATCTTTTCTTACTTTTTCACTAGCTGCAATAGTGTCTTTAATGTCTGAAAATCTATTTTCACTTTCACTCAAACAGTTTTGGCAGCTTGTGGTTGAAGTTTTAATTTCCTGTATATCACTTTGAATCTGCTTCATGCATTCTATTTATTTCCTATATTTCTTATTTAAAGATTGCATCATTTTTATATTCTGCTCTTTTTTTATCTTCTTGAGGAGCACTTAGTACTTCTTTCATTATGGTTATCATTTTTTTTTACTTCAGAAATTATTTCTGATCTGATTTCCTCTATTACTTTCTGCAGTTGTTTCTTTACCCTCAACACTATTTCAAATATTTCAGGTGTGTAATTTCCAATTTATTCTATGTTAGTGTCTTCTGCATTTGTTCTGGTTGGGCTCAGGGCCTGAGCATGCATTTTGCACCCTCTCTTTGTCATTTTGTATATCACTGTCTTCTGTCCTTTGGTGTGTAGCTTAGACAGAAGTATTACCTTAGCACTGGGTCCAGAACTATTAAGTTCAAAGTCGCCCAAGTGGGTGTGACTTGGGTCTGGTTGCTGTGCTCTGCTTCTTCCTGCTGCAGCCATTGGAGTAGAACCCTCTATGCCACTCTGACAAGATGTTCTGCTCCTGAATCAGCTGGTTGGGTCTTACCTCTAGCTTCTTTGCAGGGAGTTCTGCTGCAGGGTTCCATGCCTGGCCTGGGCTTTGGGTCAAATGAGGATCCAATGGGCCCTGAGCAGTCCCACTCACACTCTGGGCCTGGGCTCTGAGTCGAATCAGGCTCCGGTGCACCTCGGGCGGTCTCACTCACACACCAGGCCTATGCTCAAGGTCGAGTGAGGACCTGTAGGCCCTGAGCAGTCTTGCTCACATGCTGGGCCTGGGTCAAATGAGGATCTGGCAGGCCCTGGGTTGTTCCACTCACAAGCTGGGCCTAGGCTCTGGGTTGAATCAGGTTCCGGTGGGCCTCGGGCGGTCTCACTCACACACCGGGCCTGGGTTGAATCTGGAGTTTCTGATATGCTTTTTATACTTTCTTTGTGCTGAGTTGTTTTTGCATCTTCTAATTTGTTCTATTGATCCTCAGGTCTGGGTTTTTTGTTTGTTTGTTTGCTTGTATTTTAGGGAGGGGTCTACAGGGTGTTCAGGGTTTCACTGTTAGATCAGACTGGTAGTGATGTGCCTGTTTACAGCCTCCCAAGTGCTGGGATTATAGGCTCATGCCACCATGCCCAGTCTCTGCTGTCTCAGCATGCCCCATGCGTGGGGCTGGCACGGTACTCTGGGAATCGAACCCCTGGTCCCTGTACCTGCTTGCAGGCACTTTAATCGACTGAGCTATTTGGCCAGCCCAAGCCTGACTTTTGGTCAGTGTCATGCTGTTTGTATCACAGTAGCTCTGTAGTATAATTTCACATTAGGAGTTGTGATGATTGAGATTTTTGCCTCTGTGTTCATTAGGGCAGCTGGACTGTCATTCTCTTCCCTTTCTGGTTTTGTTTACTGTTTGCTTTCAGGAGTAATTTGGGAATATTACTTCCCTTTCAGTTTCATTAAAATGTTTGCAGGACAGTCATTGGCATTAGAGCTTCTCTAAATTTGTTGGAGAGTGCTTGCTTTGTCAGTAAATATACTAAAAGTTAAACAATGCAAAGAAGACTAACATGGCCTCTGTGCAAGGATAACCCATAAATTCATGAAATGTTCCATATTTTAAAAATAAAATAAATACATTTGTTGTAGAATTCAGGACTGAATCCATTAGGATCTGGGCTTTTGTTTGTTGGTAGGATTTTACTTATATCCTTGACTGATACTAGATTCGTTAGAATTTTTGTAACTTTTTTAGACAGTGTCTTGCTGTACAGTTCAGGGTGGCCTTGAGCTCATACTGTAGCCCAGGCTGGTCTCAAACCTACAACAATCTTCCTACCTCAGCCTACCAAGTTCTGGATTTGCAGGCATGTGTCACCACACTTGGCTTTTTATATCTTCTTGATTCACTGTTGGTAATTCACATGTATGTAGGCATCTGTCCATTTATTTTGCATTTTGCATTTTATTAGATTAAAAGGTCTTGAAATAGGTATTGATGATTTTCTGGATTCTTTCAGCATCCACTATGATTTCACACTTTTCATTCCTAACTGCATGTATTCTAGTCCTTTCTTTACTTTTTAAAATAAGGGTAGTTAGGGGTTTTCTCTTTTATTTAATCTTTCAAAGAACAAGCTCTTTGATTCATTGATTCTTTGTATTGTTTACTTAGTCTCAAATTGCACTAATTTTTGCTTTAATCTTTATAATTTCCTCTCTCATATGAATTTTTGACTTGACTTTTTCTTTTTCTAGAACTTTGAGGTTCAGGATTAGATTGTTTAATTGAGCTTGTTCTCTTTTCTGAGCTCACTGACACAAATTTCCCTCTTAAGTTTGATTTTATTGGGGCTGGGGAGATGGCTTAGTGGAATAAGCACTTCCCTGGCAAGTGCAAGGGGCTGAGTTCAATCCCAGTCCTGTCAAAAAGAAGAAAAAAGAAAAAAACGTTTGATTTTATTGCATCACATAAGTTCTGCTATATTATATCAGCAATATAATTTAATTGTGGGTACTGTTTAATTTCATCTGTGATCTACTTGTTGTTTAGGAGGGTGTTATTTAATTTGTTTAAGCTTATGTAATGTTTATGGTTTCCAATTTACTATTTTTAAAGAGAATATAAAGTAGTATTAAAATTAAAAATTATACAGAATTTCATGAAACAAAATA